TCAAGGCTCTCTTTTCTACCTCCTCCATGTACAGGTTGGCAACAATAGGAGAAACTGGAGACCCCATAGCACACCCATGTTTCTGCCTATAATATTGCTCCCCATATGTGAAGTAGGTTGACTGCAGGCACAGTTTCAAGAGTTGACACAGTTGTTCTGTGGAAAGCGTGGTCCTGCTGCTCAGAGTGGTGGCTGATTTTAATTTTAAACTGACCACCTCTACTGCATCATCAACAGGAATGCACATAAAGAGTGATGTGACATGAAAAGAGACCATTGTTTCATCAGTCTCCATGATGACATCTCTCACCTTATCCACAAAGTCCATGGTGTTACATCGGGGAAACTAAACAGCCACTGGCCAAAAGGATGGACCAGCACAGAAGATCAACATCATCAGACCAGGACTCTGAGGTCTACACTCATCTCCAGGCCTGCGGTCACTCTTTCAGGGATGAAGATGTCCACATCCTGGACAGAGAGGAACGATGGTTTGAGAGAGGAGTAAAGGAGGCCATCTTTGTGAAAAGAAACCGTCCATCATTAAACAGGGGTGGAGCCTCCAGATTCAACTGTCCCCCTCTTACAATGCTGTGATTGCTAGTATCACTCAGCCCTCTGTGAGTAGTAAACAGCCATCAGGTGCTAATGATCCATTGTTAGGCTGATGGTCCTTCTTGAGCATGTGATCAGCTGGTTTTGGTTGTCATCAGCAAACTGGTTGATCCACTCTGAGAAGGTGCTATTTAAGAGACTGAGCTGAATACAGCACCTCAGACTGAGGAAGTCTCTCGGATGAGAGACGAAACGTTTCTACATTTTTTGTTGATTTGCTTTGTTTTGTTTTTTTGAATGTCCAGAGGACCAGATTTAACTTTTTTAGATAGTTACACAACATGCGTCTGTGCATGGCACACATAATTACGCACATGGGGAGCTGAGTGACAAGACGTTTTTTGGGCAAGCTTCTGCTTCATACGGTGTTCGAATGGACCCAGTGAGGCGAGGACCACATCTGCTTCGCCCTTAACCCATCAGCGACAGCCTTAAAGGGCGAAGCCTATACGACATAGAACGTTGGTTACGTACTGTAACCCCAGATTCTATGAGTATAGGCGTAGCCCTTTAAGCGTCGGGCCTCACTGGCTCCTGAATGGCTGAAGAAAAGTTATTTGGGAGCCGATTTCCCGCTCTTAACGTAATGTATACGGACCGGGTGGGGCTCACACAGCAGTTGGGTGTGGACTAAATTTTTTCAGTGCGATGCTTCGCATATCGGGATAAACCCATCAGCGACAGCCTTAAAGGGCGAAGCCTATACTCATAGAATCTGGGGTTACAGTACGTAACCAACGGTTTGTGGTGTGTGTAGTTGCTTTAGAAACCTTCTTATTTCCCATTCGTTCCTTCTGTTCTGGGTCTCAGATGTGTGGCATGGTGCACACATCTCAGACCCATGTGCCAGCAGAGGCCAGCTGTTCTGTGTGCAGAACATGTGGGACAAGGAAAACGTCTTGCCAAAACTCAATGTGACCAGATTAGTATTTTTCCATAATTATGACCACTCAGGGTGAGTGAGGCAGACTAACCTCCCAGCAGCTGCTGGAGGAAAGAAGGGTGAAAAGCACCAGAACTCACTCATGATGGAGTGAGACAAAGTGGTGACAACCCTGAGTGACTGTTATGAGCCATAATCGATCTTAGGCGGCCCATAATCGATCTTTGACAGCCCATAATCGATCTTTGGCAGGCGCCATAAAGCTTTGACCATTAAAATGCATTTATTAAGGAAAACATAAAAGGAGACACGGCATTGCTATGATCTCGAGCAAAACACAAATGTTACTTAATCTTGTTAAATTCGAAGAACTGAAAAATGAGTGCTCTCGTGCGCGCTCCCGCAGCGCCAATTGATTTTTGTCAGGCCACATATGGGGGCGCGGTTCCCAATATGACGCATGCGCATTCATTCCCACTTCCGTCTTTAAACGTCTCTCAGCCTCGCTTGTCGCGCAGTAACAACTGTGGTTGTAACTAAACTAAAGCGACTCAAAGTCAACTTTTATTTGAAAAGCTTTGCTCAGATGAGACCATAATATACCAAATCACCGCCTGTTTGCAAGAACAACAAGTCTGCTTTGCGCCAGGGCTGGTTTATTTTATTTTTATTTTTTCCCTCCTGGAGACGGAGCTCCGTTTTCCGTGCTGTCCTTGAAGGCAGCGTGATTTGATTGGTCAGGTGTGTGTTGTTCTTCAACGGCTCCATGTTTGAAACTTGGTTCTCGACCAGTTGGTTTGATGAACATTTTCCTGAAGAGATCTCGAGCCATGAGTGGAAGAGCTAAAGAGAAGGTACGAGTGAAGCTGTGTCTCAGCACAGATTACATTTCAACCACTTAGTTTACCAAAACACAACCACTTCAGCAGTAAACTACTACAGCTAAACAAATTAAGTTTATGCACTTTGTTAAATAAAAAACAAATAAAGACCCAGTTTGATGCTTAGACTGATACTTAATAACTTCAATAACAAATTTCCTCTGTCTTTTGTGGGTGTTGTTTTTAAGAGATAGTGTCATGGACTTGTGTTCAGGTGTTAGTCAGTGTCATGGACTTGTGTTCAGGTGTTAGTCAGTGTCATGGA